AATTGATCTCTTTATCTGAAATGATGATCACTCTTCCTGTTCTGACCTACTTATCCAGTTTTCCTCTATACTGTTCCCTTTTTTTTTTAAAACTTATTCACCGTTCTTTGGATGGTTCTTTAATGGATTTGAAGAAAGAAGTCAGAGTATAAATGTTGGTACCATTACTAAATGCATTGATCAGTTGAGAAAAAAGTGGATCTAACACAAAACGATTTTAACCCCTTCTCTTTCTAACTGAAAAACTCAAAGTGTTTTTTTAGTGATTCTTACGACAAATGGTGTCAAGATGGCCAAAGGACTTATCTAAAAACCTGGAGAAAAGAAACTCAATTAGTTTAGTATTTTTTTTTTTTAGATATTAAACATTTTGTGGGATGGACAGTTATGCTGTTACACGATTTGGACAATTTTGCTGTTACATCCGGTATATATGTGCAGGGAATGCAAAAGCCAGGTATACTGTAATGAAAAATAAAACATGCGCAGAAAACGTGCGCACAAAGCGTATTGTATTCATTATACAAACACAGCAATAATAAAGATATCCATCCCTCAAATATTCAAAATGTTTGCCCCCGTCATACACACACATTCCTTACCAGAGCGGAGATGTATATTTCGAGAATCGGGAAAAATCTGTGTTTAAAAGACTATTCGGCCTTTTCCCGGTCATCAGGATTTCTGTAGCCGGGAGGTCAAAGCCCGCCAAATCTAATGACGCTTTCTCTCAGGGGAATACCGGTTCGAATCCTCACAGACAGCGTATATTTTTCTAATGAGATTTCTCGAATATTCAGGGCGGTAGATGAAAATGAATAAATATACTGTTCTGTTGAGTAAATAAATAGAGAATTTACTCATATATAGAAAAGTATGTATATTAAAAAGAAGAGGGGTGCCGCAAACTAGAAAGAAAATTCGGATTGCCAACACACAAACAGAATGTCTCATATCGAGAATATTCCACATTGAACATGAAGAAAAATTAATTATTTTAATATGTAAAAAATCTCACTTTCACCTGAAGACGGTTGCGAGACCAGACCAGAAACACGTGTCGTGAAATTATATAAAACAAAGTATAATATTTTTTCTCAATAAATCCACATTACAACCAAAAACGTTTGCGGCACCCCTTCTTTTTTTTATATATATATATATATATATATATATATATATATATATATATATATATATATATATATATATTTAGAAGGTTTGTTTTTATTAATCTGTCGGAGAGCGCAATTTTTTTAAAAAATAAGACCAGTAGACGAAATTAAATAAATATATTGTTTAATAAATAAATGGAGTGCCCACTCAGATACGACTATGCACTAAAATAACGTCTAAAGTGACACACACACACATATATATATATATATATATATATATATATATATATATATATATATAGAGAGAGAGAGAGAGAGAGAGAGAGAGAAGAGAGTAATGGATAGCCGCTTGGTTTGAGGAATCGGAGAGCCGATTTTAAATTCCAGTCGAATCCATTACATTCACTTACGTGCTAATACGCTTGGGAAAGGTGTGAATCCTCTTTTTCTTCCTCCAGCTATGGGTAAATCGAAAGACAGACTGGGTTCCATAGCCTTGGATGACAAACTCGTCTACGAGAAGGAGACCTTTGAATTCAAAACCTGCGGGGGGTCGTTTGGGGACCCTGTGGCACATAGCGTACTAAGTCTCTGTATTCGACCCTTCAAAAAGTGTGGATGATTCTACACAAAACCTTCACCAATATAGTCAAATCTCATGTGCTAGTGTCGGGCTGTCAGTTTCCTAGGAACTGATTTGTTTGACCCTCATACGTCAAATTCGACGGGAGAGTCGAGTATATTCATACAACTTTATATATATATATATATATATATAACCGAATGGGTAGATATCGGTAGGTTCACGAGCGAGCGATCGCATACAAATGCATATAAATACTCTATAGTGTAAGAAAAAACAGTGCTCGATGTTAAGTAATAGAGCTATTTTATATATACATTAAGAAATATGCATAATATCTTACATTAATTGCACAACCGAAGCAATTTTCAAGTGCTGGAATTATAAATTTAGCACTTGAAACTTGCTTCGGAATGAAACTCGGATTTGTACAATTAATTTAAGATATTATGTATATTTCTTAGTATATATATATATATATATATATATATATATATATATATATTGTGTGTATTTAGGCAGCATTTTTTGATTCATACATGTTTTATTAAATAATATAGACAAGTGTTGTCTTTTTATTTTATGTAAATTCTTTTCATAACGTCTGATAAGCTTAATAACATTACCATTAAACGAAGAAAAAAAATAACAATATTGATACATATTTTTTAATCCAATCTAATCTTTCGGCTTACATAAGCCATTATGAAAGATGACAATTACAGTAAAATATATTAAGCAATACACGGACAAGAAAGTGACGATAATTTGTTTCTGTTTACAGGGAAGATTTCCAACCAACGATAAACACGTGCATATAAGACGCTGGAAGCGAAAATCGCACCGCAGCTCATGACGTCACACATGACTACGCGAGAGTGAATTCGAGAAGTATTAAGTATGGGATGCCGTTGGTATAAACCAAT